CGCGGCGGGCTCCGCGTCCCTCTCGCGCGCGGCCGCTCTCCTCCTTCACAGGGTGACACGTCTGCGGTGAGTGAGTGGCGTTGGCAGGCTGTCAATCCCTCACCGGAGCGGCCATCAAACAACATAAAACACACACAGGCACCGGGCGGCGGGGCTCATAAATTCCAGCGGGCTGATATTTTTGCACATTGCTTTGCAGAGAGTGTGTAATTAATTTTTTTACAGTTCTTGCCCCGTTATTTCCGCTCTTTTCTTTGCACAAGTTCAAACTTTTGATTGCTGCTGTTTTACCCCCGTTGCACAGACTTGGGATCATTTGTTATTTTTTGGGGGGGAGGGCGATTAATTTTTTTTTTTTTTCCCTCTGTGATTGTGTTTTCTTGGCTTTTTTATGTTGCAATTTGGGGGTGGGGGTGTTCGCCTGGTTTGTTGTGGTTTTTGCTGTTTGCCACCCTCCTAACTTCTTAAGGATTTGAAAGCGAGTTTTTTGATTTTGTGTTTTTTTTTTTTTTTTTAAATTTTGCCTTTTTGCAAAGAAGATTTTTGGACAAGTGCGGAAAGACATAAAAAGCAACAATAAAAATAAAAAAGGAAAAAAAAAAAAAAGCTTTGGAGGAAGATTGTACCAGGAAAAGAAAACTGCAAAGAAACCTTATCAACTCATTTATCCAAGCCACAAATATGATGATGATGAAAGAAGATTGTAACTAAAGAAGAGAGTGATTTACTGCACTGGGAAGGAGAAGAGAGTGGAATAAACAGCTGAGATCCGGTCAAAACACAAATACTGATTTTTTTTTGTTGTTGTTGTTGTTTTGTTTGGCTTTTTTTTTCCCCTCTCTCTTTTTTTTTTTTTCCTTCTTTTTTTTGGTGTGTGTGTGCAAGAGCGAAATAAGGAGTCAGGAACTGAGACTGACTTCGGGAGCCAGAGGCTGACCGGCGCCTTCTCTCTCCCCGAAGCCCGCGCTCCTCCCGCCCCGCCGGCGCGGCCCGGGCCGCGGCAGAGGCATGGACGATCAGTCCAGGATGCTGCAGACTCTGGCCGGCGTGAACCTGGCCGGCCACTCGGTGCAGGGGGGCATGGCCCTGCCTCCTCCCCACGGACACGAAGGGGCAGACGGCGACGGCAGGAAGCAGGACATCGGCGACATCCTCCATCAGATCATGACCATCACTGACCAAAGCCTGGATGAGGCACAAGCAAAGTTGGTTTCGTCTAATTAAACCTTGTCTTTTTTTTTTCTTTTTCTTTTTTTTCTTTTTTTTTTTTGTGTGTGTGTGTAGTTTTTGTTTCTCTCCTTCCTGCTCCTCTGCGGAGAGTCTCACAATTAGAGCAACTTCTTGGTGCCGTAGGAGAAATTGCAAGCAGCCAAGGCAGAGCCAAAGTTGCTATTTAATGATTTTTTTGGTAGATAAATATGTAATAAATATAGAAGTACGCGGTGCTTATGCCGTCGCTCCGGTGCGCGGGAGGCTGTGGCTGATCCTGCCCGTTCCCGTTGGACACTGTCCGGCGGACACCGGCCTCGGAGCCGCTGTCCGTCCGTCCGTCCGTCGGTCGGCTCTGTGCTCTCCCTAGGAGTGCAACTTTTTTCCTTTCTTTCTTTTCTTGTCTCCCTGCCCCGGAAGGGGGGGCAAATGAATTACAAACCGGACAAGGTATTGCTGCGGGGGGGGGGGACGGGACAAAAACCCCAAAACCAAACCAAAACCCCTGGCTGTTTTAAATCACAATAAATACAAAAACAAAGAGTGTTAAGTCTGCAAGTTACCCCCGCCCTTACCCCCCCCCAATCTCCTTAATAAATCAGTTATAATATCGCAGGACGGATCGTACCGGGGACAAGGGGGGGTGTGGGTGTTGATTTATACCCCTCGGTCGGGCGGCATTTGCACAAAGATAATTCGGTATAAAAAGTCAGAGGGATGAGGGAAAGAGAGACCCGGCAGCCGCGGCTGGGCGAGGGACCCCCG